AGTTACAGAGTATGAAGATGCGATATAGACCAGCTGAAATTGAAACATACGTCAAAAATCTAGCAATTGTTTACAAAAAATTATAGAAAGAAATTATGATGAACCTAAACCTTTGACTATGAACAATAACAACGCTGCTGAAACCCCAAATAAACTAAAGTTTCACCTAGGATCTTTCACTGCAAAAATGGCAATCTCGCAGATCTAGCTGAAATTTACCTTGAATTAAAACTCAAGTGGGGCCAGGTAGCAACTGCGCGAACCCCGACGCCAAGCGAATCCGTTAGTTTCAAGAAAACTTTTTCACACCACTCTAAGATTTCATCAGTGACTTTGAGTCGGCGTCAAAGAAAAGCAGCATTTGCAGAAACTAGGCGCGAGGTAGTTTAACGCCAGACAGAGGTTAAGCTTCGTTTGAACGAGCATGAGATCCAGCTTCAGTCGATGTCGAGTCAACTTGAACTTGATGTGGTTGTAGAGGAAAGCCGTCAAAAGTTAGCCGAAGCAACTATCGAGGAGGCTGAATATCTGAAAGACGCTTCTAAAATCAGTGGGTTTTGTCGTAGCAGGTCGCAATTGGCAATGGCCGTTCAGGACAACCAATCGGAGGAAGACAGGACAAGAAGTTGGGTGAACACTAAATCGCCAGCTAAGGAAATGATTGAGCCCATGGCACCGGTTCAAAGTATCAACCTGGGACCTGCTTCCGATTTCTTGTCATTTTAAAAAATTGAACCGCCTTTCAGCAGGAGTCTAACGATGACTCATAACTCTCTTCCAAATGCTAACTATTTCGAAAACTCAAAAAGTGTTGACGTCCCCCAAACATCAGATACAAGTGTCAGCTTGCCAAATCCAAATATAAATAGTATGTACGAGGTGCAGGAACAGCTACCTTTGACCAATTTATACAGATACAACCCTTTGATGCAGAGTAGTTTTCATCAGTCTAATGATGCAAATTAGTTTTCATCAGCCCATTGCTCAAGAAACTTCTTTCACAAATACTTCTGCTATTTTTATGTATTGAACATTTTACCAACTAACGTTGGTCCTCTCAATCCTTCAACAGTGATCTTCCCCTCTAGCCCATATATGTCACAAAACCATCGAAAAACGAATGTTCAACCGTCCTCTAGCGGAAGAATGCTGTACACGCTACTACCGATTGGAAACCGTTGATGGCGCATCATACAAACGATCTTGGCCAATAAGGTCTTCGGGCAGTAAACCAATCACTAATCAAGATCTAGCTGAAGTATTGACACTCAGCCAGAAGGGTCTATTGCCTGAGTCGACGAATTACCATTGCATTGGCTTGAATGCTTCAGTCAATTGAAAAGCGCAAGCGATGCAAAGGTTATTATTGATGATATTGAACTGAAATTTGTCAAAACCCTCATTTCAGCCAAAGCGAAGAATGCAATTGCTTAATTCGCATTTAGTGGAACACTCTACAAGGACACTTTGAAGACTCTGAAGAGGAATTTCGCACAGTCACAAACATTTGTGGTGGCTCATCTCGAAAAACCCTCATAATCTACAACTCAGAAAGTATTATCAGTTTTGCTTCATGTATATCCAATCGCGTCGCTATTTAATCGCTAAGCTCTGAATACGACTTGAAGAGTACTTCCATTTTGAATCAAGGTATTTCAAAATTCCTCCAAATATGAAAGAGTCGTGGTCTCTTCACTCTGTGAAGAGATGTTGGACACAGCCAACAGTTTTAGATTTTAACGACTATCTCCGCGACAAGGCTGAGGCACATGAATATACGTGTCAGTCAGATTGTAGACTCAAAAAGTGTTGACGTCCCCCAAACATCAGATACATGTGTCAGCTTGCCAAATCCAAATATAAATAGTATGCACGAGGTGCAGGAACAGATACCTTTGACCAATTTATACAGATACAACCCTTTGATGCAGAGTAGTTTTCATCAGTCTAATGATGCAGATTAGTTTTCATCAGCCCATTGCTCAAGAAACTTCTTTCCCACATACTTCTGCTATTTTTATGTATTGAACATTTTACCAACTAACGTTGGTCCTCTCAATCCTTCAACAGTCATCTTCCCGTTTAGCCCATATATGTCACAAAACCATCGAAAAACGAATGTTCAACCGTCCTCTAGCGGAAGAATGCTGTACACGCTACTACCGATTGGAAACCGTTGATGGCGCATCATACAAACGATCTTGGCCAATAAGGTCTTCGGGCAGTAAACCAATCACTAATCAAGATCTAGCTGAATTTTTGACACTCAGCCAGAAGGGTCTATTGCCTGAGTCGACGAATTACCATTGCATTGGCTTGAATGTTTCAGTCAATTGAAAAGCGCAACCGATGCAAAGGTTATTATTGATGATATTGAACTGAAATTTGTCAAAACCCTCGTTTCAGGCAAAGCGAAGAATGCAATTGCTTAATTCGCATTTAGTGGAACACTCTACAAGGACACTTTGAAGACTCTGAAGAGGAATTTCGCACAGTCACAAACATTTGTGGTGGCTCATCTCTAAAAACCCTCATAATCTACAACTCAGAAAGTATTATCAGCTTTGCTTCATGTATATCCAATCTCGTCGCTATTTAATCGCTAAGCTCTGAATACGACTTGAAGAGTACTTCCATCTTGAATCAAGGTATTTCAAAATTCCTCCAATTATGAAAAAGTCGTGGTCTCTTCACTCTGTGAAGAGATGTTGGACACAGCCAACCGTTTTAGATTTTAACGACTGGCTCCGCGACAAGGCTGAGGCACATGAATATGCGTGTCAGTCAGATCAAGTCAAGACCTGAGAAGGCTTCAAAGACTGGTTTCCATAAACGACCCACAAAAACTTTTGCCGCTGCTTCGGAGTATAACCATTTTATACTCCTTGCATCCAGTGTAAGGGTAAACACCCACTCTGGAGTTGTTCTGCATTCTTGAAAAAGACCTCAACCCAACGGGCTCAGTTTGCCGCTGAAAAAAGCTGGTGTTATGCCTGCTTGCAACCTGACGACATGTTTCGGAAAAGTCCAAAAGCCCGCAAATGCAGTAAACCTGGTTGTGAAAACACTCAAAAAGTCTTGTTGCATGGTGCTGAGAAAATTTTCAGTGCAAGACTTGCAAACAAGGGGGTTAACATAAGCAATTAAACAAGCCTTAAAAACTCAAACAATACCGCCCCATCGCGTCGGAATAAACCGCAAACTTCGTCATTGAACGTATCCGGGTCGCCGTCATACAGAAACTCACGGGACTCCTACCTGTGCTTCGATTGGAAATAGGTTCAAACACAGACGTGACTACTGCTCTTCAAATGTGCAATTCCTGTTGTACCCACTCATGGATCTCTGCAGGCTTTCCAGATCAATTAAGCTTAACTGGGCAAAAGCTAGATATTCTGGTAAACAGCTTCAATTCGACGGAATCCGTTCCCACGCAACAAGTCGAAGTAAACGTGTGTGCCAAAGTCGACCACCATATAAACTAATTTAGGGTTAGGCCGTTTGTCAAAGACAGTTTGAGCGTTGGTTCGGAAATCATTGAGGTTCCCATTCTGCAGCCAATTAAACCTATTGTCTACAACTACTCCGATGTTGAGATGATATTGGGGCAGGATGTCTTTCATGCAACGAAGCCTCTCGAATGCAACAAAGCCTCTGTCTCTGTCCGTAAGGCCATTGGCTGGCTTCTCAGTGTCCCGATTCCCTCACCAATTGGTGTTCGAGCAACCACTTTCAAGTGCATTGTTGAAGACGTATCAAGTGAAGAAATGGTCGGAGCTAGAATCATATGGCACGTTTAAGCCAGCTGATTTTCGTTCCGTAGCTGATAAATGTGCTCAGATAATTCTTGATTCTACCATGCTTCTTGATGGCAGCCGTTATTTTGTCGGAGTACTCTGGGCTGAAGACAACATTTATGTTCTCGATAAATTTTTTGTTCAAGTCACTTGAAAAGCGTCTAGGAAAAGATTTAAACCTGAAAACTCAATACGACTCAGATATCACAGGCGATGAACAGAAGGGTTACGAAGTCTCGGTTAGGCCTCACGACTCAAAAACCGTTCGGACCGGGAACGAAACGTTCCGCACCTCCAGGTTACAACCCAAACAAACGCGGCAAATTTTGGCGCGTTTTGAATTTCGAACGGTGCTTCCAAGTTTCACGGCAAATCACTAACTATTTCGCTTCTTGTCGGCACCAATCTGCTGCAGAAGCTGTTAATCAATTTTCTGCGCTTCCGAGAGCACAGATACGCAGTTTTCGAGCATACCGAAGGCATGTTTATACAGGTCGGTTACTGCAAAGTGATCAGCGTTTTTTTGGCGAAAGGACCCCACATCAGATGTGAGTGTGTTTCAATACACAAGCATATGATTGGAGCGGAAAATTCTCCGACATGTGCTTATTTTGCTCTTTGCCGAGCAGCCGTCGACGACGAATTTTTTTTGCTTGGATGTCTACCTTAGGTCGAGGAAAAATCCGGAAACTGCTTTATTGTTAAGTCGCAATTTGATTGAACTGCTTCAGTTGGATGGGTCTTATCTCACAAGTTTTACAAGCATAATTCGCATTTTGTCAAAACCAGCGCTAACAACAGTAAGGTAATTCTTACCGCTGCAATTAATCCGGAAACCTCATCTTATGTTCTCGTTCTCAAATGGAATCACGTCACCGATAGATTGGCTGTGAGCAGGGGAATTAACCGCGCGAGCTCATATACTCTGCTACTTAGCGATCGGTTCCTAGTTCTGTGTCCACCGTGTTCTCCGCCATAATTCTTGTCGCACCGTATACCGTACGCGCACATTTGCTGCTGAAAAATATCTGGCGATTGAGTGGCCAACAGTGGGACAACTCTCAGTCAAATGAGTGATGACTGAGAGTTGGTGGCAACGAGGTGTCAAATAGCAACGAGGTGTCAAAATAGCAACGAGGTTTTGTGAGCTGCCCTAAAACTGGCAAGTAGGGGTGCCATTCAATGAGTCTGCGGCATACTGACTGATGACTTCCCTTTCGAGTGTCCTTGCGCTTTTCTCCGATCTTGTGGCCGTTGTCGTCAAAGCTGCCAATAGCATAGGGGGTATCAGGTTCTCTTTTTCTCTCCCGGCCAGCGTCGCACCATCTTCTTGTCCACTCTCACTTGGACGAGCTAATTTTGCCAACAAGGCCACCACTGCTCAGAAAAGCACCTAGACAAAACTTCAACTTGCGTTTCTCTTCGGTAAAGCAAGAGTAGACCCAATGAAGATGCGTTCAGTTCCGAACTTGGAAATTCGAGCTGCGCTTTCTGCTATTAATCTGAAGGATGGTTTCAATTGGTGGCCTTGTTGGCAAAATTAGCTCGTCCAAGTGAGAGTGGACAAGGAGATGGTGCGACGCTGGCCGGGGGAGAAAAAGAGAACCTGATATCCCCTATGCTATTGGCAGGTTTGACCACAACGGCCACAAGATCGAAGAAAAGCACAAGGACACTCGAAATGGAAGTCATCAGTCAGTGTGCCGCAGACACATTGAATGGCACCCCTGCTTGCCAGTTTTAGGGCAGCTCACAAAACCTTGTTGCTATTTTGACTTTCCAATGGATAAGGTTGACTGCACATGTTCGGTGATTGCTCAATGACGTTTTCTGTTTTATAGCATTCATTCGCGCTCAGACAAGCACCTAGACAAATCATCAACTTGCGTTTCTCTTCGGTAAAGCAAGAGTAGACCCAATGAAGATGCGTTCAGTTCCGAAGTGTGGACTTCGAGCTGCGCTTTCTGCTATTAATCTGAAGGATGGTATTAAGAAAAATCTGACTCTGAGTATTTCCAAAGTGATCATAAGGACTGACAGCACTTAAGTTCTTCAGTGGTTGAACTCGACAAGCAAACAGCCCGGGTTTGTAGCTAATTGAATAGACCAGGTTGTGAAGTCAACATCAGTTGACCAATGGTTCCATGTTTTGAGTGGAGATAACCCCGCCGACACAGGAACTTGAGGTATTACTGATGACTCCATCAAGCGAAATAGTTGTATCAAAGGCCCTCTTTTGAAAACTTCTGCTTGACCTTTCAATCCAAATAGGGAAACTACTGAACAAATTCGCCTGATTGCTACGTTCTACGATCTGAATGAGGGTTTAGAGGTCTCTCTAAGTTTTCAGTGCACTGCAGTTTCGACGACTGACTTTGCATTCCCTTGGGAAGAGCACAGCTCGTTTTCCATGATAAAGCGCCTGATCGCACATATGTTGAAACTCTCACCTAAGCATGAACAATTCAGAACACCAGATTAGACTCTAATTTATCCGACAGAACTTCTTATTGCAGAGGAAAGATTTAGAGTCAGTTAGAGTCATTCCTCGCTGAATTTAAGCAATTAGCTGCTAAAAAACATGTGAAAACGTCGAGCCGTATATCAACGTAATCGGTTTTTATCGGACCGAACAGTTTGGTTAGAACTACAAGCCGTATCCAACGTCTATCTGCAACCGCGTTCGAAGCTCCCCATCCAAGGATTTTGAATAGCCGCGATCGCTTAATCCGATTGTTTCTTTTTTTTTTTCATTTTAAGCACGACGATCGGTGCGTCGACTACCTGCTTGCAACCAGACCACATGTTTCGGAAATGCCCTAAAGCCCGCAAATTCGAAAAAAGCCTGGCTGTAAAAAAAACTCTTGATGCATGATGCTGAGAAAATTATCTGCGCGAGGTTTCCAAACAAGGAGGTCAACAATAGCAATAACACAAGCCATTCGAATCCAATTAATACCGCTCCGCGGAACCGGAATAAACTGCAAACTTCGCCATCGTACGTTGCCGGGTGAAGGGTACTCCTTATTGTGCTTCGATTGGAAATGGGTACAAGCACCGACGCGACCACTGCTCTCGTAATGTGCATTTACTGCTGTACTCACTTCACTCATGGATCTCGACAGGGCTTGCACAGCGTTTAAATTTAACTAAGCAAAAGCTAGATATTCTGGTAAACGGCGTCAATTTGACTGAATCTCTTCACACGCAACAAGTCGCATTGAACGTGTATGCCAAACTCGACCACCAGGAAGCCTCATTCAGAGTTACGCCGTTTGTCAAACACAGATTGAGCTTTGGTTCCGAAATCAATGAGTTTCCCATTATGCAAGACAGGTTTCCACATATGCAGCCAATTAAAACCATTGTCTACAACTACTCCGACGTTGAGATAATATTGAATGTGGATGTCTAACATGCAATGAAGGCTCTCGAATACTTAATTCATTGGAGGAAATGAAAACACTCCTGTCGCTATCCGTATGCCCTTTGGCTGGGTTCTCAGTGGCCCGCTTCACTCAGCAATTGGCCTTGCAGCCATTCCTTAGAAATGGTACGAACTAGAATTATATGGCACGTTTCAGCAAGCTGATCCCCGTTCAGCAGCTGATGAACGTGCTTAGAAAACGTTGATTCTACCACGCTTCATAACCGCAGCCGTTTTATCTGGGCTGAAGACAACATTCATCTTTTTGATAATATTAGCTTCGTTGGTCCAACTTAAGTCTCTTGAAAAGCGTCTAGAGGAAAATTTGAGCCTGAAAAATCAATACGCCTCAGGTATCAGAGTTGATGAAGAGAAGGGTTACGAAGTCTCGGTTAGGCCTCACGACTCAAAAACCGTTCGGACCGGGAACGAAACATTCCGCAGCACCCAGGTTTAAACCCGAACAAACCTGGCAAAGTTTGTCGCGTTATGAGTTTTAAACGGTGCTTCTAAGTTTCAAGGCAAATCACTAATTTTTATGCTTCTTGTCAGCGCCGATCTGCTGCAGAACTTGTTAATCGTTTTAATGAGCTTCCGAGAGCACGGGTACGCAGTTTCCGCAGATATCGGGGGCATAGTTATGCATGTCGGTTACTACAAAGTGATCAACGTGAAAAATTCGGAAACTGCTGTATTGTTAAGTAGCAGTTTGGTTGAACTGCTTAAGCTGGGTGGGTTTACTCCTACAAAAATTATAAGCAACATTCACAATTTTCCCTTGGAATCAAATCCCTTAAAACCAGCGCTAAGAAAGGTAAGGAAGTTCTTACCGCTGCAATTATTCCGGAAACCGAATCTTTTGTTCTCGGTCTCAAAAGGGACCAAGTCACCAATAGATTGGTTATGAGAAGAGAATTTAACCGCGAGCTCGAAGATTCTGTTACTTAGCGATCGGTTCTTAGTTCTTGTCATCCGTGTTCGACCCCATAATTCTTGTCGCATCGTATACCGTACGCGCACCTTTGCTACTGAAAGATATCTGGCGACTGAGTGGCCAACAGTGGGAGGACTCTCAGTCAAATGAGTTGTGCCTCAGACTCATTGAATGGCATCACGGCTTGCCAGTTTTAGGGCATCTCACAATACCTCGTTGCTATTTTCTCTTTCAATGGATGAGGTTGAACTGCACATGTACGGCGATAGCTCATTGGACGTTTTTTGTTCTATAGCAGTCCCTCGCGCTCAGAAAAACGCCTATTCCAAATGTCAACTTGCGTTTGTCTGCGCTAAAGCAAGAGCAGCCCCAATGAAGTTGCTTTCAGTTTTGTAGTGGATTGTCAACCTGCACTTCTTGCTATTCGTCTGAAGGATGGTACCGAGAAAGCTCTGACTTTTGAGTACTTCCAAAGAGTTCATCTCGACTGACAGCACTACATACCTTCCGTGGTTGAGCTCGATAAGCAATCAGCTCGTATTTCTAGCCAATCGAAAAGCCCAGGTTCTGGAGTCAACATCAGTTGACCAATGGTTCCTTGTTTTGCGTGGAGACAACTACGCTGACACAGGAACTAGAGGTATTTCTGCTGACTCCCTCAAGCAAAGCCGTTGGGTTACCTGCACTTCTTTTTTGAAAACTTCTGAATGGCCATTCTATCCCAATAGCGAAGTTACTGAGAAAATTCGCCTGGATGGTCCCGTCTACGATCTGAATTACGGTTTAGGGGTGTCTTCAAACTTTCCGTGTACTGCAGTTTTGAATGAGTTTACCTTCCCTCGGGAAGAGCACAGCTCGTTCTCCAAGATAAAACGGCTTTTCGCATATATGTTGAGAATCTCACCTAAACATAAATAATTCAGAACGCCAGATAAGGCCATAAATGATCCAGCAGAACTTCTCATTGGAGAGGAAAAACTTTTGCACTTTTCGCAGTTATAGTCAATCCCAGCTGAATGTAAGCAATTACCAGCTGGAAAACAGGTGGCAATAAAGAGCCGTATATCCTTGTGTTCGCCCTTTATCGGACCGAACACTTTGGTTATATCTACCGGCCTCATCCAACGTCTCTCCACAACCGCCTTCAAAACTCGCCAGCCAAAAAAAATGGATAGTCGCCATCCCTTAATCCGATTGTTTCTCTGTTTTTTTTCTCCTTGAGCTCGAACATCAGTTCGTGGAAAACCTCCGTCATTCATCAGCAGTGTGTTGTACTACGCTTGAGATCTGCAGTAGGAGCTGTCTAAACAAAGCGCATATGCTGTAGAAAGCGAAAAGCAAAAACCGTTACTCCAATGATGTCAGACTTTCCTTTGGAGCGTCTAGGTTACCACCAGGCACCGTTTTTGAACTGCAGAGGCGACTTTCTTGTACCATTTTACGTGACCATTCGTCGATCTCCCGAGAAACGCTGGGGTTTTCTGTTTACTTGCTTAAAGACTCGCGGAATTCAAACTGAGTTGACTTCATTCATGGACAAAAGTTTACGTTTGATGGTTATCGAGTTCTTCATCTCTAGGCGAGAAACACCCCCGTAAATTTGGTCGGACAATGAAAAGAACTGTGTAGGAGCAGAAAAATAGCTTCTTCTTTGTATCAAAAGCAAAGAAGCTCCACTGTCGCTCGTACACAAACGCACTAAGTATAATCCACCTAAAAAACCATATCAATGTGAAGCTTGAGAGCGATTGGTGCGCAGTTGTAAGCGCGTGTTTTATGCAATCTTAAGGTGAAGAAGCTCGTTGACGAGATATTGAACAGAACCAGGTGCCTAGTTGAAGGTTCTTTTAACGCCCGTCCTCTCACTCATCTTTCTAACGACCCACATAGTCTTGCAGCTTTGACGCCGAATCGTTTTTTTAGGTCAGCACAGTCTAACATTTTCGTCTCTAAGATCCAGCGAAAAGGGTTCTCACTCTGAACGCTATCCCCGTGCGCAGTCTTACGTACTTGCAATTTGACAGTGATGGTTGAGTGAGTACGTCCCGACACTCAATAGGAGAATTAAGCGGTATGCTCCTCCTGAAGATTCCTTGAAAACGGGAGATTTACTGTGCTTAGTTGAATCGACCAGACCTAAGGGTCACTACCCACCAGCACGCATAATGTCGCTAAACTACGGCAAAGACAACATCGCCCGTTCCTCAAACATTAGGACCGTCTCCGGAAACTACATCCGGCCGCTCGTTAAGCTCGTTACGGGTCCGGCTCCTTCGGGGTGAAGGATGTTTATGCTATATAGCATTAGGTTGAAAGTATGAAAACTAGTATAGTATAAAATCAGTATAGTCCCTTGGCAATACCAGATATATAGCCCAACGTATACTTAGTGCGTTCCGAGGAGTACGGCGTAGGTACGATTCTCACCTAAGTCGTTCCATTTGAGAATCACCTTTGAGCCGAGCCTAATGGTACGTAAAATGCTAATATTTCTTTCAGTTCAAAATTGGTTTGCAATTGAGTTTCTGTTAATACAACTGCGTGAACTGAATATGAAATCATTGTGAAAAATCACAAAACTCACGAAATCAGCGCATGAACAACTCCACTTTTTTGCTTGATACGTTTAGGGTTGTTGCTACTTTCTTGCAATATAATTTAAAAAAAACTTGCCGTTTTTCGATTCTCTTGAAATAAACCCAAACTCATTTTTTTATTCGAGTTATTAAAAGTCCAGAGTGTTTTTTGGTGCTGCGACTCGGGAAAGTTTTGTGATGACTTCTTCAAAAGGCAAATGGACTCCTTCAAGATGCAAGTGATGCACGCGAGCAAATTGTGAGGATGTATTCAGAAAGAAAGTATTCATCGACATCGAAGACCAAAATTTTCAAGGGGGCAATCAAAAAACAAAAAACCAAGGATCTGAGGAGAATTTTGTATGACCACATTTTTTGAAAGAAGGAACGACCCGAACACTATTTTGTGCGACCAGAAATTGTATCAAGGAATGACCCCCTACACGATTTTGTGCGACCTCATTATCCAAGTAAAGGAGCCCTGTACATTTTTTTGTGATCTAACTTTTTTAAATGAGAACCACCCAAATACAATTTTGTGCGGCCTTAATTTAGAAAGACTTGCCGTTTATCGACTCTCTTGAATTTGGCCAATTATGTTTCCCGTTTTTATTCATCAGAATAAACACAATGTGGTATGTTTGGATCGTGAGGGCCGAAGGTTCTTTTTCCAATTCCCCAAACGAATTTTTATAATTAGATTTTTTGTTCAGATTGTCCAATTGGGCTCTTTTTCAGTTCTCTCCCTTTTAAATTCAATTTTGAAAAGTCGTTTTAAAGTTATCGTAATGCGCGGTGAACAAATCGTCATTTCTGAAAAGATTTGTTCTTCATACTTTACTGCGTAACATCACTCACTTAGCCGTAATAACACGTAAAACAAACATAAAACTCGTTATTTTGAAAAAGGGAAACTGGAAAAGAGCCTCCGATTGTTACAAAATTTGGCATGTAAACTAATTAGGTCACGGCAAACAGTCTTGCTCTTCTTACAAAACCATTCAGCAAACTATTCGTTACACCGTAAAATTGATCCCCTTCTGAAAGAATCTTTGGACCAGTGAAATCCAGTTTGAATGTTGCAGCAATGAATGAATTGCGTGAAGCCGAGGAGTCAAAAAAATCCGTGGCTCTTTTTACTCCCCCCCCCCCACCTGCAAATTTTTACATGTAACT